CTAAACAAGTTTGAGGGCATACGTTTTGTGGACAGTAGTGAAGTGAGCCACAACCTGATAAACTGATAAAATAATAAACATTTTCCATGACTGGTTTGCAGATACTGCAAGTGAAATTGACTTTGAAGTAATTCCGCTGTAAATTTTTGAGAAAATTAAAGGAAGACATAAAAGCATATACACATTATTCGAACTTTTATATAAAAAAAAACCCTTATTACATTTACTGAAATATTTTTGCCTCTGACCAGGTTGCGCAGAGATGTTTTACCCCTAATCAACATGTTCATATTAGACTTGATCAATTTCTCCATATTAACAGGTTGGGTTTCTGATGAGCAGTCACCGGCCACATCAACCTGCCCAGTGTTTGATTGTTTGTTGTTGTGTTTGTTCTGTTTTGTTGCTATTCTTCTTTTCTCTCTCCTCTATCCACTGAGCCGGGGTCTGTCGGAGGTTTCTTACGTTAAAGGGAGTTTTTCCTCCCCACTGTCGCCAAGTGCTTGCTCAAGGGGGATTTGTTGGGTTTTCCCTATGTAATAATATTGATAACAGTAAGCTCTAGACCTTACTTTGTAAAGTGTCCTGAGATGACTTTTGTTGTGATTTGGCGCTATACAAATAAAATTTGATTTGATTTGATTTGAACACTTCGTAATCCTATTGGCCATTTGGTGTAAGCAGGAGCTCACACCTCCTTGCTGGAATGTGGTAAAATCCAGGTGTGTGTGTGTGTGTGTGTTGTAGTTTCAGGTGATACTGGACAATAGGTTGTCTGTCCTGCAGACCCCTATCTGTGAGAGCTATTCCAGGATGAAGCAGACCTTGTGAATATGCCAAACAGGCCTAGGCGAAGGTGCAAAACAGGATAGCAGGTCTGTTAAAATGTAAAATAGGCTATTTGGTTACTTGAAGATACAGACATCCTGTCTCTACAGAATTTGCAGCACACAGTTCCAAAGTTTCACTCAGTAGAATACATCAGTCATCAATACAGTTTTAATATGTATAAGCAAGGAAAATAAAGGTAGGAAAAGTAACTAAAGCTTATAAAGTAACTAGAGCCTATAAGAATCAAATCTTACATTGTATATAATAGCTGTATAACTCAAACCAGGACAGGCCCCACTCAGCACTGAGAGGCTGGATGCTGAACTGAGTCAATGGAAACTTAAATATGAGGAGCTCAGCAAGAGCAAACAGGAGGCCCTCAAACAGGTGAAACATGCATGTAGTCAGGCCACCACTGTGCCAGTCACAACAAGTCTGTGTGGATCTCCTGTTGCTTTCTGGGTCGGCAGAAGGGTTACCTATCGTAGATGTTGGTTCCACAAACAAAATGTGTTTATGTTGTTTGACCAAATAGGGCAACTGCTGTGCCTTAATGTTGCCACTAGCTACAGGATTAAGATGTTAGTTCAGATAGACTAAATTAAATCCACATAACTGCACTCAATTTTATTTAACACATTTATTTGTGTGTTGTGGCTTTTGCAGTTTGAGGAAGTGAAACCTTTATGGTTTTATCCATCAACAGCTGGATGTGATTTTTAATTCAGGTTTGGTTAGATTTTATATAGAATGTGTTTCTGAACAAAGACTGTAGCTGTAGCTGGCGGTGAGGAGGCAACTCATCAAACACAGTGATAGGGCCTGCGTGTCAGTGCCTACTTCTCTGGCTTCCAAGATTCATACTGCACAGCCAGACATGGTTCTCTGTGGGTCGCTGAATCCAGTATTGGGCCAATGGCAGGAGATAAATTAGAGTTTTAAGTCAAAATTCACTCCAGATTTTCATTTAAGAGTAACAGAGAATCAAATCTTGTATCAAGGATGTGGGCTTCCCAAAAGAAAGATGATGTATACAGTATCTCTGTCACTGAGGCCAGTCATTCTCCCAGACTAATGAGGTCCATCTCAACTCAGCAAAATCTGTTTAGGATCAGATTATAGTAAGTGCAATCATCTGCTGCTTAAAACAGCTTGAATTTATATATTAAATTTTTTAGAGTTACTCACTAGATTCCAATAAGGAATCCATTAAGTATTTTCTAATTCATTCCAGTGCACAGTCTAAAGCTGATGTGGCCTTGATTGGTGCCAAAACACTAAGGCCACGTGCAACTAGGCAATGGGCTGACTAATGTTTCCTATCCATGCTGTTTTTGGGGGATTGGTACAGTATGTTGGCGAGGTGCTGTGGCTTGTCACCCCCATCAGTATGGGAGAACACACCTGTTCGATCTGTATAACTGCTGATCAAGGCATGGTTTAATTGGATGGTGTTTGTTGTATAAAGCCCAGTCCCTCTCCAAACCTTTGATTATTATTGAACCTCATGGTAACATCTGTCAATAACATGCCTTTTTGTTCTGTTTAACAGGAAGCAATTTGTAATACTCTGTTGTGTGTCAGGGTGACTTTTTACCAGACATATAGGTATTCAGATCAAATAGTTTCAGCAGTATTGATCATTTTATTGCTTAAGCACGACACATAATACAGATAAAGTCTCCCATCAGGTGTGTCTCACTGCTCTATTCCTCACATACAGTATTTATACACTTATCTGCCTTTAGTTTCTTTCTATGAAAACTTAATTTTGATCCCAAAGCCATCTTTAGGTGTAGCTGCTGTCTGCCATTGTTTTCCC